TAGAAATAATTTTTTTAATCTCGCAGGGTGATACTATTTTACGGCCTAGGCCGTAAAATAAGAATTCAGAGCCCCAAAAGCGATCGTAAAGTAGTTCTTTCAGCACTCGTGTGGAAAAATAGATATTTTCCGAGGAATACCGAACATCAGCGCAAAAATGAAAAAATGTCCCGATACTTTCTCACCCAACCACCGGACAAACCGAGGAATACGTGAAATCCCTTGTGGTCTGATATTTCCCATTTCACAAGGAAAAAAAAAAAAGAAATCACAATGCATAAATAAGAAAAGAGTGAATAACTTGTCTCCTTTTGTCTTCACACAATTTCCGAACCACATCCTGTCGTTTTCTTCGGGGGGTAAACCTTTTTTTATCCCACCTGACACACACCTGGCGAACGAGAGACACCGAGCACGAGTCCTATCCCCACCCTCTCAGGTGTCTGACACCTACAGAACATCTGGATCATCTCGATATATCGATCTCGATTTTTCAGAAATCAAAATCTCAAATTTTTGCAAAAACTCAAAATTTAATTACTCAGGGCAAAGATCTGGATATTTCTGTCTCCATTCGCTGCGAGACAATCGATCTCGATGGTCCAGTCCTCGAGATATATCGAATCGACTCGAAAGCTATCACCCCCGATATCTCGAGATGTATCGCTCCAAAAAACCCAATTTTTTTTTCAAACTCGACGGAAATTTTTCGATCTTCAAAATGACGGGGTCGAACTTCCAAAATTGCGCGCCAAATTCAAATCGATATCTCGAAAAATTGATGCTCCCCTGAAAAATGATAGAATTTCGATCTTCTTTTGTGTTTACCGGATGAAAAGGAATTGCTGGAGCTTCGAAAAATGTAGGAGGATCAGTGCAACCAATGGACAAAAGAAAACTTGGCTACCTGCGCAATCGCCAGGTGCTCTTCTCACTGAATATATTGTTATCCTTATTCATCATGTGCAGAGACCGCTATCCTCTCACTTCTACCACAAAACGACTGACTATATTGCCCAGGTGAGTTCATCGCCTGCAGGTATATATACTAACTCTCCTGACTCGGTTTTTTAACGACCCTGATCGTCTCCAAAGCTCCCGCGAATTCACGATTTTTTTATCTTCGTTGAATTCATCGTCGCTTCAACTTTGGGGTGGGGTAGGAGTTAGTACCAAAATGGCGGAATGATAAATTATCTATTATGTGATATTCAATAATTATCGCGTGACGTTTATCACACATTCAATTTTCGAAATTTTTCAAAATGGCGGAGGTTGATGAGAATATTTTTTTTCAACAAATAGTCAGGGAAATTTGAGTCGGAAAACTCAATATGACGACCTCATTAGACCCCATATATTCAAAAAACAAAATCCCGATTCGAGGAATTGCTTTTCCATTTACGGGAAAACTACTGGGGCAAAACGGGTTCATGATCAGTGTTTTGAAACGGAAGATTGCGGGGCTATCGAATGGAGTCATGATCACCCTCTTCCCGCCGAAATTTGAATTTTTTTTTTTAGAAAATGCTCTCATTGGAAGGAATCACAGGATGAATCGCCGAGCGAATGTTAAAGACAAAGGAACGGAACATCCAGAGATAAAAAAGATTAACCGGGCATTGTGAAGTAGATAAGAAAGTTGGAACGAGTGGAGCAGTTGATAAAGAATAAACAAGGTGGTGATTTTTTTATTGAAGTTTTTGTGTTGGAAAGTTGAATAGAAGTGTGTGTCTGGAATTGTTTGACAAAGTGGTTTAGACAATTTTGCAAAGCCCGTGAAAAAACAATTGATATTTGATGTAAAAATCGGGAATTAATGACGATTAATAAAATTTAACAACAATTAACCTATGGAAATTCCGTTTTCTGGTGGCGGTATTGGATAGCCAGGGAAATTTGGGCTGGAAAAGACACGATGACGACCACATTTGAACAAACCGTTCTCGAGGTATTAGCGAAAGAAAAAACGATTAAAAAGGATTAAAATCGATTAATCCTATATTTCTCGGGGTCTAAGTGTCTGAATTCGACGATGAACGGGCATTTTGAAGGGGTTGGACTCCCACTTGGAATGCCTCATACATTAATTCAAATTAATCTAAAGTGATGTCTCGAAAAGTGATTAAAATCCATTAAAACTCGCTATCTCGGGAACTAATTATCGGATTTCATCGAGTAAAAAAACATTTTCTGGTGGAAGAAGTCCCCAAGAAAATTACCTCTCACTCGTCCAAATAAAGAAACGAACAGGTTCAAAAAACGATAATAAACAACGATTAATGAAGATTAAGAGTGATTAACCATACATGTCTAGGGGTTTAATAACACAAATCCAATTATTACTGCGTTATCTCAAAGTGAAAGAAATCTCTTCGTCGATGAATTTCATATTAATTAAAACTGGTCTATCAAAAATGATTAAAACACATTAAAACTGATTAAAATCGATTAAAGCTCCATATCTCAGGCGTCCCTCATCCGATCTCCACCACTAAAAATTCATTTTAAACGGAATTAAATCCCCTACAAAATGCCCCCCCACCCATTCCCCTTTCACTCACCCTCCCGCCAAAAATCAAAATTAAAATCTACAAAAATTGAAAAACCCAGAAATTGATCTTCTCCCCGTCTTTCGCTTTCCTCTCAGCGGACGTCGATTTGTCTCGCCTAAACTACCAACGCTTTCACCAGAAATGCCGTCTTCCGGAACGTTCACCGTTCCAAACAATAAAATAATAATGCTTAAAAAAAAATACAACAAATGCTGATGTTTCATCTGTGTTTCCCACATGATCAATTTTTCTTTTTCTCTCACATTCACCTCCCCCATTTGACCAATGCCGTCTGTGTGGGCCCCATGGGATTTTTCATTGGTTCAGTTCGTGGCGTGCCAGCTGCCGGGGCAGGTGACCGCGCAGCTGTCGTTCACGCGGGCTTTCCACCCTCTCAACAATCCCAGCCTCAACCCCAGTGCCACTGTGTAATCCACCCCCAGATCTTTCATCCCAAAAAACTAAAACACCTCGATCCAATGATTTCCCGGGGCAAAACGGGCCCATCGAAGTTCGGGAAGAATATCCCGAGAACTAATTGATTAAAATCGATCATCATATCGTCTTTTCAACCGGAAATTCCCCCCTCCGGCCAATTTTCAAAATACTTTTCCCGCCAAAAAGTAAATTTCTTAAATTTTAGGGTGGAATATGGCTTTTGAAAAATACAAATCATTTTTCTTTCCTGATCGGAGTATCGGCGAGGGTTGCCACTACCCAGAGGCACATTTGGCTCCCCTCCCCCCGGCGCAGAACCGAATCTGTTCACTCTCCCCTCCACAACTATTCCGGCAGGATGGGGGAGGGGAACTTTACCGTCTGGCGAGTGAATGCCCTGTCGATTCATATATCTATCCATTGGCCTTTGTTGTCTACCCAAGAATCAACTCTTTCCCACCGTCGACCGAAATTTTTTTCGGATTTTAGGAACGATAAAGAGCCTTTACAAGGAAGCTTGAAGTACTGAAATTGTCCTGAGTGTTTCAATAAACCTTCGAGGGTTTAATTGCAGGGCATTACGAGTTGTGTAGAGTGGAGTCACATTTTCCCGAGAATTGTATACCTGGGGGTGTGCTCTCGGGGTCAGGTAAAACCCCTGTGGTCAGGTATTCAATGGTTCTGAGGATGTGAATGATTGTAGTAAAATCGACAGGCGATTTTTCCCAGTTTTCCACATTTGGAAAATGATTTTTTCAAAATGGGCCGGGTGGAGGGTTTTTGTCCCACGACTATATTGAAAAAAAATTTTTAGTTTTTTGTGTCAAAAACTGGTTTTGGAAAATGAAACTAGGGGTCGAAAATGACCCCAGGAAAATTTGCGATTCAAAACTCTAATCACAACTCCATTTTGCCCCGCTAGTTTCTTCATAATGCGAAAAACGCAATTTCCCTGAAAAATGGGCCTGAACCAGTTTTTGGGCCTGAAATATTTTCTCCTGGGTCCATTTCCGATTCTGCTCCCCCAAATGTCCCCCACATACATGAAGAAATCAGAAGATAGTTTTCAAAAAGCAAAATTCATCCGGAAATAATAATTTCCCCTAAAACTGGGCCTGAACCAGTTTTTGGGTCCGGAAAATGTTCTCCTGGGCCCATTGCCGATTCTGCTCCCCCAAAAGTCCCCCGCGTAGATAAAGAAATCAGAAGATAGTTTTCAAAAAAAGCAAAACTCATCCAGAGAAAACCATTTCCCCTAAAAATGGGCCTGAACCAGTTTTTGGGCCCGAAAAAATTTCTTCCTGGCCCCATTTCCGAACCTGCTCCCCCAAATGTCCCCCACACAGATAAAGAAATCAGAAAATAGACTTAAAAAAAAACGAAATTCATCTGGAAAAAACAATTTCCAGTAAAAATGGGCCTGAACCAGTTTTTGGGCCCGAAAAAATTTCTTCCTGGCCCCATTTCCGAACCTGCTCCCCCAAATGTCCCCCACACAGATAAAGAAATCAGAAAATAGACTTAAAAAAAAACGAAATTCATCTGGAAAAAACAATTTCCAGTAAAAATGGGCCTGAACCAGTTTTTGGGCCCGAAAAAATTTCCTCCTGGCCCCATTTCCGAACCTGCTCCCCCAACTGTCCCCCACACAAATAAAGAAATCAGAAAATAGACTTTAAAAAAAAAACGAAATTCATCTGGAAAAAACAATTTCCAGTAAAAATGGGCCTGAACCAGTTTTTGGGCCCGAAAAAATTTCTTCCTGGCCCCATTTCCGAACCTGCTCCCCCAAATGTCCCCCACACAGATAAAGAAATCAGAAAATAGACTTAAAAAAAAACGAAATTCATCTGGAAAAAACAGTTTCCAGTAAAAATGGGCCTGAATCAGTTTTTGGGCTCGAAAAAATTTCCTCCTGGCCCCATTTCCGATCCTGCTCCCCTAAAAGTCCCCCACATAGATGAAGCAATCCGAAGATAAACTTTTCAAAAAAAAAGCAAAACTCACCAGACAACCCCGAAGGCCCCATACCCAATGGGCCTGTCCGGTTGAACAGGATCCTGAGTCGGTGGTGGTGGTGGTGGTGCTGGTGCAGCTGGATGATAATAATTCTGTGGTGTTTGTGCTGCAGCAGCAGCGGCAGCAGCAGCAGCAGCCGCAAGTACAGCCTGTCCAGGATGAGTCCCAGTTGAGCCCCCGCCAGTTGTACCGGCCCCACCCCCCTGCATAAGCGACATGGACACACTCATGGACACCCGGGAGTGCCGGCTAGGCCCCACTACTGCCATCAATAGTTATTACCCCTTAAAAACCCCTTACCCCTCGATAAAACGTCAAAAACCACTCGTAAACCTCAAAAACCCCTAGATTCCCCGAAAAATCCCAAGGATAAGGCCCAAAAATCAAAACGCCAGACCCGATATTCCACTTGTCCCACAGTTCAATGGCAATATTAGCACTACCCCAACTGTACTGATGACCGATAAACCATGTAGAACGATAAAATCACTAGAAAACGTAAAAATAAACTAGATCGCCGGTTCTGGGGGATTTTGACGTGAAAAATCGGCTGTTGGGGGTTGGAGGGACTCTCACTCACTCCGGAGTGTTCTTCAGGTTAGGTCAACTCTGTGAACAGTTGTGTGACATGTTAAGACGCACGTACGACACCGTCTAGTGACTTTTTCCCCTCAATTTCCCTTTATCTCGAGTTTAGAGTGAAAAAATGCGGATTTTTGAGCCTCACGAGGGGGGCGGACGCCAGTTGACACTGTAAGCCTTCTTCTGCTCTATCCCCTGGTGTTTGAATGACGCCAGTTCTCAATTACACTGTACGTAATTGTAATGACACACACTGAATAATCACTTTTCGATCCTTTGTCACAAAATCACAGATTTTTTTCACTGTCTTTGCCTTCACCAAGTTTTTTTTTCCTCTCCCTTCTTTGTTTTAGACGTAGTCGCGGGGGAGAGTTTTTTCAGGCTTTTGCGAGGGGGTGTGGGGCACACACACGCGTGGGACTATTTTTACAGGGGAGGGCCGCTCGGGGGTGTGGGTGGCACAGACGCGTGTCGAGAGGAGGGATTACTCTTTAATATATTATTTTTGTGGAACAAAAAATACGTTAACGGGGTTAACGCCACACAGCGTCTTCACACTCTCGAGGCTCAATGGCCACTGCTCGGCGACGGGCGATGCAGAGGTTTTGAGGGGAGGCTTGGGGAGGTGGACTCTGCGCATGCGCGTCGACAACCCCAGTGACGCCATTTTGAGGCGCGGGATTTGAAAGAAGTAATGTGAGTTTTTTGATTCTCCTGATTTTTTGGAGGGGGTGATTTTGGAAAGTCGGGGTGGGGGCGGAAATTACATCGGTAAGTGGCGGGAGAAATTTTTGGCGGGAAATCCAACCTTAAAACTGGCGGGATATTCAACCGGAAATTGATTTTTTGGGACAGACCGCTTTTTGCGATTAGTTGGGACCTGTGGGGGCAAAATCGGTGGTTTTTTTATTTTGGGAGAAATTTTTAGATCTGTCGGATAAGACCATTTTCAACTCCCCACCACCAGCCACTCTCGGGAAATCTTCTGTTTTTCCTTGGAAAAAATTTCTAACTTCAAATTATTGTCGGAAAATGCATTTTTAATGACAGATGGGTACAATAGGACCCTGCAATATTGACCGGGTGTACGACTGAGGTCTCTTCCATGGTTCCTCTGGCAGTCCTAACCCAATTGGGGGGGAGGGGGTAGAGGAGAAAAAAAGGAGAGACGCCTATAAAACTGTACTAGTACTAGGAATGAAGTATGAAATGTATAAAAAATAGTAAACATTTGCGGTAATGAAATATCTCATTCGTTAAGACAGACGATATTACTCCATTTTTCCCACCGTTGAAGATCAAGGTATTTACATTATCAACAGTCGGTAAATTACATTCAGTCGATGAAGAAAATTCACGGCTGAAGAGAACTAGAACAAGAGCCCATTGTTTACTTCCCCCACTCCCTCCACCCCCCGGACACTCGCGCACCAGACAACAATGGCGGCTATAGTTTACTGTCAAATGGAGAATACCGTCGAGAGTTTCGAGTTGTAGAAAATAAAATTAACACTCACGTGATTGAAACAAAATGGCAACTCAATTGGCCACTGTCTCGTGATTTTTTGAGAAGTGCTGCGAGTGTTCAGTGCTATTGGGAGAGTTTTATTATTGTTTATTACGGCGGGGGGAGGGAAATTGCAGGCATGAGACCATGATCCACTGGTCTGGATCACCCGACTCTGTTTTTGTGGATTCAGTAAGGATTTTCGATGTTTTTTATCGCATGAAGTATTGTTTTTGGGGGTTCGTAGGTGTGGGGGGGAGTTGAGCGGGAAATTTCGGGGGTGAATTGAGTTTTTTTGGGGAAAATTGATTTGTTTTAGAGGGGATTATCTGGCACTTATTTTTGTTTATTGTTTTTTCGTTGGTTGGAGATTGTTGGATTATTATTGGATGAAATGTTGTCGGTGAAGAATGTTTGTTGGGGTATGAGAATTTTTTGTAAATACGAAGGTATTGAAGGACTGCTGATTCAGACCCGTGTGGGCATCATCAAATTTATCGATTTAATGAGTATGACGTCTCGAGCCACGGATTTCGTCCGATTAGGACGTAATTATCTCGCTTATTATGGATTCATCGAGAAAATGTCAAAATATATTTTTTGTAGATCGGGAAATTCTCCACAAAAAATTTATTTTCATATTTTCCCCTAAAACCACTAGTTTTTGAGATAATATCATAATTAACAAATTGACAAATGGCATCCGCCTGCTATTCATGTGAATGTGATTTTTGACGACCTCAACGGTGAATAATTCATGTTCTTTTGATGGAAAATTTTCTAATAACTGTCGAGTAGAATTCGACACTTGTTGCATTGAAAATGCTCAAAAATCTCGTGTTTGAATTTTTTAAACAGGGGAGGTTGGGGTAAAACGGACACTTGACTTTTTTTAAAATGCTAATGAGGGGTTGAAATGTTGATAAAATTTAATATTTTTTTTTCTCAATACAAAGAACAATTCTTTCCCTTTGTGATGAGCCTAAACTGAACTCAATTGATCAATTTATTTCTGAGTTATGAATAATTTTAAAAAAGTCTAAAGTGTCCGTTTTACCCGGTAATTATTGATTTTACGAGAAAATGTCACAAAATGTTTTTTACATATCAGAAAATTCTCTACAAAAAATGTCTTCTGACATTTTCCCCTAAAACCACGAGTTCTTGAGATAATATCATAATTAACAAATTGACAAATGGCATCCGCCTGCTATTCATGTGAATGTGATTTTTGACGACCTCAACGGTGAATAATTCATATTCTTTTGATGAATCATTTTCTAATAACTGTCGAGTACAATTCGACACTTGTTGCATTGAAAATGCTCAAAAATCTCGTGTTTGAATTTTTTAAACAGGGGAGGTTGGGGTAAAACGGACACTTGACTTTTTTTTAAATGCTAATGAGGGGTTGAAATGTTGATAAAATTTAATATTTTTTTTCTCAATACAAAGAACAATTCTTTCCCTTTGTGATGAGCCTAAACTGAACTCAATTGATCAATTTATTTCTGAGTTATGACTAATTTTAAAAAAGTCTAAAGTGTCCGTTTTACCCGGTAATTATTGATTCTACGAGAAAATGTCACAAAATGTTTTTTACATATCAGAAAATTCTCTACAAAAAATGTCTCCTGACATTTTCCCCTAAAACCACTAGTTCTTGAGATAATATCATAATTAACAAATCGACAAATTCCACTCGACTGTTATTCACAAAGTTCAGTCTAATGTAACACAACTGAAATTCATCGATTGAGATGTCTAAATACTACTAATTAATCAGTCTATTAACATTTTGAAGTCACTCTTTTCGTACGGGTTTCCCACTTATTAATTCGGAACTTCATTTCAATTCTTGCATTTCCACAAAACAATACCAATTAATTTCTAAACAAATGGCCCTAAATCACATGGTGCATTCATCCAACCAAACCCCTTCCAGTAAAAATGTTCAGAGCAGAGGAGTCCCCGAAAGGCTCCTTCCTCCAGCAGACAAAGGCAGCCCGGGAGGAGCGCGCCCACGAGAAGCGCCGCGAGGCCGCAGTGGTGACAATCCAAGCCTCGATCAGGGGCTTTCTCTCCCGTCGAAAATTCTCCACCCGAATTCTCCTCGACTTCGACGAGTTCTTTCCCGAGGAGGCCACCCCGGACGCCTCCATCGAGCTCAAGCCCGTCCTCCAGGTGTTCAGGCACATCTCTCGTTTCCTCATCGTCTTCAGACGTGACAGGGATCAGCCCCGCATCGAGAGGCTCTGCAGGTACCTCGCCAAGTCCCTGGACTCCGAGTCCCCCAAGTTCTCTTACGTCGGGGTGGCCCTCAACAAGGAGCACTACATCACCTGGATCTCCCAGATGAAGACTGTTTTGTTTCACTGCATGCTGGGGCTGGACGATTTGAGGCCCGAGAGACCTGGGGATCATCGCTCCATTCTCCTGAGGCTCCACACACTCGTCAGCTTCACCTCTTCGGGGACGTGGGCCATTCAGAGGGTCAAGGGCATGGACAAACTCAAGACTGGCATGCAGCAGCTGTGCGCCAATATCATGGGCCATCTAGTCAATAACGGATTTTATGCTGTTATGAAGGTCATTATTTTGGTTTATTTATTTATTTTGGTTTTTTCAGCATTTCAATCAATCGATCAACTTATTTTTCTTCATTTTTTTTATCATGTTACTAAGGGGCTACACCCCCTGCTCGCTCCGCTTGTGAAACCCCATGATCCTTATTCTGACCCTTGTGACCCTTAATCTGACCCCCCCGACCCTTATTTGGACCCTTAATCTGACTCATGTGACCCTTGTGACCATTAATCTGACCCTTGTGGCCCTTAGCATCTGACCCCCGACCCTTATTTGGACCCTTAATCTGACTCATGTGACCCTTGTTCAGACCATTAATCTGACCCTTGTGGCCCTTAGCATCTGACCCCCCCGACCCATATTTGGACCCTTAATCTGACTCATGTGACCCTTGTTCAGACCCTTAATCTGACCCTTGTGACTCTTATTTCAATCCTTAATCTGACCCTCATTATAACCCTCGCGACCCTTATTTTGACCCTGATGACCTCGAGTTTCTGACCCTTGGTTTTTAACCCCCTACTCTGACCCAGGTGTCCCTTAATATGACCCTCGTGACCCTTATTCAGGCCTTTAATCTGATCCTTGTTACCCTTATTTGAATAAGGGTCACAAGGTTTTCAACCCCTTACTCTGACCTAGGTTCCCTTAGGACCTTTAATTTGACCCTTAATACCCTTATTCGAACCCTTAATCTGCCCCTTGTGCAGATTAAGGGTCATTCTGACCCTCATGACCCTTATTTCGACCCTTGTGACCCTTAATTTTGGTGTTTCAATTTCGAGTACCAAATTTTTATCACCAGAAGTCGATTTGGATTTTTATATTATAGAGAGATAGACCCTACACCGAGGCCAATTATTTACATATTTACATAGTTATCTGAAGTTTTTTAATACATAGTGAAGATAACGAATGTCAGTTTTCAATGTATTTTCTTTGTTGTTCTTTAGGTATTATTGGTGAAGGGTCTGGGTAGAGAAAAGATATCTCTGAAGCCTGTTGCCCTCTCAGCCGCAGTCACCCTCACAATGAGGCCTCTTATATCCTCACAGATGTCTGACAAACTCATATCGCTGTTCCTCATAAACATCTTCAGTGTTCCTGCGCTAGTTTATCATCTGAACCTCCTGGCGCCTGAGGTAAGCACCTCAAAAATTTTGAAAATTTATTCTACATTTCGGAAATTACTCCTCGCTTACACAACATCAAAACCTAATCTTTAAAATTTTCCTATCATAAACACAAACTCAATTTCGTTCAACCATCTGGACTCCAAAACAATTTCATCCTCTCGTCACTAAACGAAAGCCCGAAAAATCTACAACCTCGGGATTTTTTTTTAATAAACAAAAATGACAAAATTAATTGATTCCGAATGCCGTGACCCGGATTCGAACCGGGGTAGCTACGGCCACAACGTAGAACCATAACCACTAGATCATCACGGCTCTGGAACCTTATAACTCCTCTCTCCAGCGCTGTAAACACGCCCTCCGAGCTTAATTAATCTATATAAAACGTATAAACACCGAATATCGCGATATCCGATGATTTTTCATTATTTGAAATGAAAAAAAAATCAGCCTTGCACATTGCCGTGACCCGGATTCGAACCGGGGTGGCTACGGCCACAACGTAGAATCCTAACCACTAGATCATCACGGCTATGGAAGACCTGTGAAAAACAAACTTTTCGTTCTCGGTGTCACGATGAGAATTCGACGTGCGAGACTCGCGGGGACTTATCTACAAATTTTTATTATCATTTTTATTATTTGTTCGACATGATTTGAACGAAATTTATTTTTATTGAAAGATATTTTATTACATCGGGAGGCGACATCTGTGGGAATACACGTGCACTGATTTCCTGTTTTATCGGACATATTATATCGTGAACCGGATTAAAAGTGAAAGGAGTTTGATAAAATCGATTTTATCGTTAAAAAAAAACTTGAAAAACAAATTATTTTTTCAACATTTTTCCCATTGATTTTTTTTCATATTTCTTTTTGAATTGAATTTTTTTTTTTCAATCAATTTTTAAAAAAATTTTCCTAAAAAATTGGTTTCATCTGATTATCTGATATTTTCGCGGATTTTTATGGTTTTCTGACATGAAGTCATCAAAATTTCACGATGTGCTGAGTTTACGACACATAGAACTGAATTTTTAATTCCAAAAATTCAATTACAAGCGACATCTTCCTAATCCTCCTAATAAAAAAAATCACATCGAATCGATCGCGTTGAAAATCGCAAAAACCTAACGCGACAATCGTTCATTGGTCACTATCTCCGACGCGGGAAATTCAAATTCAGTTGACTTCGAAATCAACAGTGTCAGTTCTATCGGACCAAATGTCCCCCCACACGCAACCAGTTTTCCATATCCTGAAAACACCTCACGATTCATCCCGCACACTACCAGAAATATCACGCACCAGCTCCTGAAGACCATCACCACCAGGCTTTACCTCCACGCTACCTCGCCCAAACCCACCCGACGAGGTCAACTCACCCGGTAAATTCGTTTCAGTGCATCACATCCTTCGCGACCCACAGCCTCTTTCCGCGGAGCCTCGAGCTCTTGAACTCCGACCAGGACCTCCGGATAATCTTCAACGCCCTCGAGGGCAGTTACGCCCTCTGCCTGCTAGCAAACCTAATCCAACTCGCGTCGATAGAGTCTGAGGACCTCCTCAAGGACCTCTACTTCCCCTCCTTCACCTTCGTCGTGACAAAGATGTTGGAGTCCTGCCAGCAGTACGTTGTCTCAAAGCAGAGCAACCTGACGCACTGGCACCCGGTGCTGGGTTGTTTCGCGCAACCAGTGGATCCCCTCCTTCACTCGGCCATCGGCCACACGAAGGTCCAACTGGGTCTCCTCTGGAGCGGTAAAATCGTCCAGCAGCTGATGGGCAAGAGCCTTACGGAGATCGTCGAGAAGGAGGTGATCATCACCGACAACAATCAGAGCACCTCCAACTCAAACATCTTCAAGCGGGCGTTCTTCGAGACCCGCGGCAACCGCAACAACTCGACCAAGAACTGGCGGAAGCTCGGCAGCCCGGAGACGACGAAGATCGCGTTGATCTGCTCGCTCTATCAGACCGCCTTGCATACCTTAACTCAGATGAAGCTGGACATCCTGACGGGACTGTGCTACCAGGACAAGATACTCTACCACCTCTGGCTGTTCCTCAATACTCTCGGGCCTAACTGCGGACTGAAAGCATTCCTGGACCATCTCGCCGCGAACACCAAGTGTTCCGCCCCGGAGTTCCAGATGCTTATCCTCTTCTGCGACTGCATGACGCATTACGTGACAATCCTCGACGACATGGAGATGTACGAGCAGCAGGAGCCGTTCAAGCTACAGGACTTCGTGACGATGGGCTTCTTCCTGAATCAGTTCTTGTATAAAGGAGTCCTGGGTAATCTTTTCGACGTGAAGACTGTGGGCAGCAATCCCCTGTTCGTCAGTCTTCACACCTTGCTGATGGCGATCTACAGGAGGGACTGCAGAAGGAACTTTTGTCCCGACGGACACTGGCTAGCGAAGGAAGTCCGAGTGTCTGGGTTCCTTGCGGACCTCGAGAAAGGCCGGAGAGGAGCAGCGCTGCTCCTCTCGAAGATGCCTCACGTCATCCCTCATTCGGAACGCGTCGTTCTGTTCAGGAAGCACGTGGCTGACGAGAAAGCGGTCCTCGGTCTGACCGAATCCGCCTGTAACAGCCCTCCTTCGACTCTCATAGCTGTGCACAGATCGCGAATCGTTGAGGATGGCTACCGTCAGCTGGCGATGCTACCGTCGCAAGCCCTGAAAGGCGTCATCAGGGTTAGATTCGTCAACGAGCAGGGCCTCGACGAAGCTGGGATCGATCAGGATGGCGTCTTCAAGGAGTTCCTCGAGGAGACCATCAAACGCGTTTTCGATCCTTCCTTGAATCTCTTCAAGGCGACGACGGAGAACCGTCTGTATCCGTCGCCGACGTCGTACATGCAGGAGAACCATCTCCAGCTGTTTGAGTTCGTCGGCCGGATGCTGGGGAAGGCCGTCTACGAGGGAATCGTCGTGGATGTTCCCTTCGCGTCGTTCTTCGTTTCGCAATTCTCCGGCCAAGCTGGGGGCGCCCTCTACAGCTGGCTTGATGAACTCGCGTCCCTAGATCGGGATCTGTACAGGAGTCTGACGCTTGTCAAACACTATAACGGCGATGTCAGCCAGCTTGAGCTCACCTTCTCCCTCGATGAAGACGTCATGGGGGAACTGGTGACGCATGAACTCAATCCGGGGGGCAAGGCCGAACCCGTCACTAATTTTAATAAGATTAATTACATTCATCATATGGCGCACTTCAGGATGCACAGGCAGATTAAGGACCAAACGGCTGCGTTCATCAAGGGGTTCAAGAGCATCATCAACCCCGAGTGGCTTTCTTTGTTCTCCACGCCTGAGGTAGGTGTCTAGGGATATTTGAGACTGACAACGCTGGGGGAATTTTTTTATCTCTTCCGGTTGTGGAAATGCTGACGACAGAGGTTTAGGGTTGAATCTATTTAGGAATGATTATACCGATTTCTTATATCGATTTTTACCCTAGGGATTTTTTTCGGCTTTTAGGGAATTTCTAGTTGTATTTCTCACGTTTTTGTGATTTTGCTCAAATTTTCTTTGGATAAAGTCATAATAGAGAGGGAGAAGTAGCGCAAAAATACAATGGATACTAGGGAATTTTTGAACATTCTAGTGAATTTCCAGGGATTTTTCTTACAACAGATTTTCTACGATTTTCTTGAATAAAGCCGGACAACAAAGAGATTTGACAACAGTAGGCTAGGGAATTTTCTGTAAATCTAGGGACATTGCAGTCGTTTTGCCGAAATCTAGGGATTTCTAGTGTATTTCCACGTTTTTATGGATAGAGTAAGAACTAAGTGGTTAGAAAAACGGGGTTCAAAGCTAGTGGAATCTAGGGATTTTTTTCATTTTAGTGGTATTTCCTAGGGTTTTTTACGTTTTCATCAATACCACGACTATTATAAGGGATAAAATAATTTAAAACCAGTGGTTTCGATCGGAAATTTTCCCAGCTTTCGATTGGAGGTGAGAAAAATTCTCTGGGTTGTCTTCGAAAATTCCGAAATGTCGTTTTGATTTTTGCACAGCTACAACGTTTGATCTCGGGAGATAACGTGCCTCTAGACCTCAGGGACTTGAGGAGGCACACGCAATACTACGGCGGCTTTCATGATAGCCATCGAGTTGTTTGTTGGTTGTGGGATATCCTTGAAAAGGATTTCAGTGAGGAGGAGCGAGGTCTCTTTCTCAAATTTGTTACTAGTTGCTCTAAGTCACCACTCCTCGGCTTCGCACACCTGGAGCCGCCGTTTTCCATCAGGTGTGTTGAGGTGGGCGATGATGAGGACACGGGAGACACTATTGGTGAGTTCTTCGTCATAAATTAATTAAAGAGTTCCATTGAATCAAGGAAGAAATGAAGATAGCCCGGTTTTTGGTCCTTCTAGGAAGTGTCATCAGGGGATTTTTCACGATTCGGAAGAAAGACCCTCAGAATCGCCTGCCAACATCATCAACCTGCTTCAATCTCCTCAAGCTCCCGAACTACCAGAAAAAGAGCACATTGAGGGAAAAATTGAGGTACGCGGTGACAAGCAACACCGGATTCGAGTTGTCATAACAAAAGATCGAAGACACGCGAGAGGAAAATTCTGGACCAAAGAAAATCGATAAAAATCGAGGGAAAATTCTTACTCATCACTTAATTCTCTAGTGATGCGAATCATCAATCATTTTCACGAATGATAACGGAAGAAATTGAATAAGGAAAACTGTTTGCATGCAACGCGTGATAGGTACTGATGCGGAGTGGAATAAAAAGATGATTATTTCATGAACCTGAGGAGATGGGTCATTGAATTTAGTTTCAATCGATAGCCAGGCAAATTTCCGGTTCAAAACACTGGTCATGAACCCTTTTATCTCCTCTGCTTGTCTAGATAACGAACAAAACGGTTTTCAAGGTCAAATAAACAAGTTTGACCTTGAAAACGTTTTCCTTGATATCTGGGCAAGTTGAAGGGATAAAAGGGTGTATGACCCGTGTTTTGAGCTGGAAATTTTCCGGACTTTCGAATGGTACCACTCAAAATAATCTCCAGGGACATTTTAATTTTTTCCACCACTCTCAAGCCTAACGATGTAAATATAACCTAAAAATACTTAGTCGCAATTTCATTCGAATCTTAGGTTTTGCAATTCATTTTTCACTTAGTTGCCATGTTAATTTTTCCGTAAGTAATGGAATAATAAATCACCGAATTTGATACTTCTGTACATTAAAAATTGTTTAATATTTTTTTAACAAGCGATAACATGTAAATTATATACAAAATGTCACAAATATACATAATTTCATTAATCACATGGTATGACCAATGATATTCCCTTATATACTACCGTTTTACATTCACAGGATCTTTCGAACCAGTCACATTCTGCATCACATATTCAACTGTTTGAAAATTCACAGTTGAGTTTAAATAAAAAAATAATAGTCTTTGATTATATCATAACTTCACTCAATAGCAGTCATAAATATTACATATTTAAAAAATACTCTGCGTAGGAATAATCCTGACTCCATTGTGACTGAACAGCCATGGAAAAAAAATACTTTTTCTCCTTTGTCTCATAATTGTCTTAAATTACGAGAATGACTCGATGATTTTACTCAGACTCGTGTAGGTCCCTACAACGAGACCTAGGAGTCCGAACAGTATGAGAGAGCCGTTTTTCGCGACCATTATGCAATTCTGGGTGGAGTCCTGGACACTCCAGAAGGTGCAGGTCTCGATTATGGCGGGGAAGGCTAGACCAAGAGCGGAGAGACACAGGGCTCCGAAGAGGGAGATAAAGAGTTCGAGTCGTGGCACTGCCATCGCCAGGAAAACTGAAAACAACGGAAAATGACGATCATTCGAGGGTCATTAGGTTGGGCGAATTTGGTTACCTGCGGGAGAGGGGGTTGAGGGTAGTCTCACTGGACAGCCAGGGAAATTTCCGATTCAAAACACTGGTTATAAACCTTTTTATCCCTTCAATTCCTCGATATATCGAAGAAAATAATCTCAAGGTCAAAAGTGTTTTCCGAAGGTTCCATCACATTTTTTCGGCCCTAGGGAATTTCTAGGGATTTTTTTAGATTTCTAGGGATTTTTACGTTTTTAGTGTATTTTTTCGGTGATTTCCTAGGGATTTTTTACGTTTTGTTGAATAACTTGAGAACCGGAAGAGCTAGAGGGGTCGATAGCACCAGTTTTCCAGCTGAAATTTCCCTGGCTATCGAATGAGGCCACTGTCAATGCTCTAGTTAATCAGGTTAAATTCAAAATGTAGGATTTTCTACTCACAAGTGGCCACGACAAGGGTTGTCCTCACGACGTACTCCCACATGACCTTTCTCTCCTTGACCCTTTTAGATAGATAGACGTTCCACACAATGTCGATGGCGGGGTAGCACTGGAGGGCGTGCGTCACGTAGATGGAAAGTGCGAGGAGAATCTGCACGACTTTTCCAAGGACATCTTCAGAAGGAAGGTTCAATGTCAAACTGCCCTTGACCCCCGAACCATAGCGAATGTAGCCGAAGAGACCCATGAAGACGTACAGGAAGATGATGAGACTCATCCCGCTGTTGAGGACGCCGAAGGGGGTCATGAACTTCTTGGGATTTTTCATCTCGTTCTCCAGAGGAATCATCTGCAGGTAAACCATAAAGCATTCGTGAATTTTCAAGATCTATTTTTAAGGTGATGATCATGCCAGTGATCTGTGAGAAATATTACTTACAACGCCGATCGCCTCTAGAGCGAATAACACTGTTCCGAAGAAAAGTGGAAAATCCTGAACAGTTCCCAGTGCATGTCTACCCTCGAAGCTTATCGGATCCCGGAAAATGAAGTACAAAATAATTCCGAAGCTGATGAAAGTTATTCCGTTAGCGGCTGTCGAAAACGGCGCTAACAGCTTCAGATTTCTTATCCAATTAATGAATATCAATGGAAGCAATGTGGCGAGCATGTAGTACTCGAGTTTTATTTCACCCACGTACGAATCTATCGCCTGCGGATGAAGGGAATATTCATTAATAATGCGATCCTTCATTTTTTAAATTAATTGGGGCGATAATTTGCGAATTTTTAGGTGAGGTGGGTTAGGAATTGTTTCTTTCTGTAGCCAGGATAATTCACGTTTCAAAACACTGGTCATGAACCCTCTTATCTCTTCAAAATCTCGTGATATCGCTGAAATTGATTCCAAGGTCATTTCTGTTTACTGTTGAAAATTTGGCCCTTAGTAAGGAGATAAAAAGGTTCATAAACAGTCGTTTTACACGAAAGAGAGCAACGGGAGAGGGTTCTTTCGAAAGGTAGGAAAATTTCCGGTTCAAAACACGAGTCATGAACCCTTTTATCTCTTCAATATCTCGTGATATCGCTGAAATTGATTCCAAGGTCATCTTTGTTTACTTTCGGAAATTTGGTCCTTAGTAAGGAGATAAAAAGGTTCATAAACAGTCGTTTTACACGAAAGAGAGCAACGGGAGAGGGTTCTTTCGAAAGGTAGGAAAATTTCCGGTTCAAAACACGAGTCATGAACCCTTTTATCTCTTCAATATCTCGTGATATCGCTGAAATTGATTCCAAGGTCATCTTTGTTTACTTTCGGAAATTTGGTCCTTAGTAAGGAGATAAAAAGGTTCATAAACAGTCGTTTTACACGAAAGAGAGCAACGGAAGAGGGTTCTTTCGAAAGGTAGGAAAATTTCCGTTTCAAAACACGAGTCATGAACCCTTTTATCTCTTCAATATCTCGTGATATCGCTGAAATTGATTCCAAGGTCATCTTTGTTTACTTTCGGAAATTTGGTCCTTAGTAAGGAGATAAAAAGGTTCATAAACAGTCGTTTTACACGAAAGAGAGCAACGGGAGAGGGTTCTTTCGAAAGGTAGGAAAATTTCCGGTTCAAAACACGAGTCATGAACCCTTTTATCTCTTCAATATCTCGTGATATCGCTGAAATTGATTCCAAGGTCATCTCTGTTTACTGTTGGAAATTTGGCCCTTAGTAAGGAGATAAAAAGGTTCATAGACAGACGTTTTAGACGAAAGAGACGAACGGGAGAGGGTTCTTTCGAAAGGTAGAAAAATTTCCGGTTCAAAACACTGCTCATGAACCCTTTTATCTCTTCAATATCTCGTGATATCGCTGAAATTAATTCCAAGGTCATCTCTGTTTACTTTCGGAAATCCCGACCTTTGAATGATAAAAAGGTTCATGACCAGTGTTTTGGATCGGAAATTTTCTCAACTTTCCAATGGACCTATTTCTGAGGACGAAAAGCGAAATTATTCTTCAACTAATAACAATTAAGGCGTGATTAAACAATTGATAAACTCACACTCTTTAAATTCTCCGAAATGAACACAACATATACGCAGCATGTGCCCAGCTGATAAACCAACAAAAAAATGTTAACAATGTGTCTGAAAGAAATACAAAGAAATACCAATTATTCAATCGTTCTAATGGAAAAAAAACATGTGTCATGAAACGATGATTATGAGTGTCATGGCTAATGAAGTGCGAGGAGGACAGAGTTATTCACACCTATTATCATACTTTCAACGAAAGGAATCCGGAGGAACGTGGAATTGTTTTACTTCTCGTGAGTCACTTCATAGGTATTTTATTCTTTACTCAGGGACGGTAATTAAGAACTCATTAATTAATGAATTCGGTTATCAATTCTCAGTTATTTTTTTGCAGTATTTTTTTTCGTAAAATTATTTCGTGATGGGAAATTGATTGAAAAATTTGTTGATTTTGGGAATAAAAAAGAAAAATTGCACAATTGAAGAAAAGTAGATTTTTGAAAATTGAAAGAAAAAAACGATTTTCTAAATTGAATTGAATAATGAATTGAAAAAAACGAAAAAGATCGAATTTTTATTAGAAAAATAAAATGAATAAAAATGGCGTTTTTTTTCAATTAATAGAATGAAAATATAAAAAATCGATTTGAAAAATCGAAAAAATGAAGATGATTTTTAAAAAAACGATAAAATGATTTTATGATTGAACTTACGGAACAGCTGGTGCTATTGGCCTGAGGAACATTGGCCCCTCCTCTAACGCCGCCTCGGCAACTGCCTCATAAGTGAGTGACGGCACTAGTCGTCTCTTACAAAGCTCGTACTCCGATCTAATTAACAATCTTATGCAGTACGTGCAGAGAAATCCAATAATGATTGTCCCGGTGATGCCTATCGCATAGCCGGCGTGCGAAAACGCCAGGGGCATCGCTAGAATTCCCGTCCCTAAACTTCCCTTCAACAGGTGAAATAGGGTGTCCCACGTCCTGAAAAAATGACCGATCACTCATTAATTTTCATTAATAAACTTTCGGAAAGGGAAATGTAAAGCCGAATTAAAACGGAGAAAATTTTTTTTTCGTTTTTCCCAGGTTATGGAGAGGAATTATTGATATGATTTTTTACGATTTTACTTACGTCGTGGGGTGTGCTACTTGGCGGTTAGCGTATGGATCATATTCTACCGCAAACTCTTTACTTGTTCTCGGCCAATTTTTAAGCTCAACTGTGAAGACATCGCTACTAGATTTTGCTGATTTTTCACTGAAAAAAAAACATCAAAATGAGAAAAATTTATTCAATTCAAAATGAAAAAAAAAATTTTTTCATCACTGGGGCGTAAAGTTAAATTTTCCGCACGCCGTGCGGAAAACAACCGCTCTACACACACTAAACCGTTTCGAAAAGTGCACATTTGAGGCAGGTATCACAAAAAAGTATATTTCGATACGAGTGCGCAAATAATATTTTTCGATACGAGTGCGTAAAAGTGTTTTTTGATCCGTGGACGGTACGTAGCGCTCGCCGAATCCGAGCGCTGCCCTTCAAAGGGTCCCAGAGCACTTTTCCCACGAGTGTCGAACCCTATATTCACCGCCGGCGGAGCGTGTGTAAAATTTAATTTTACGCACAAGTGATGAAAAACCCGTTTTTCCCCCTCGTATCGAAATATTTTGTCATTTTGTCAATTTTTCGTTTCCATCTCACCTTTTTTCGTTACTTGTGGCAGTGTATCGTCCATCTTTCGCCCCTAGACTCTCCTGCAATAAAAACAATAAAAATAAAAATAAAAATGAAATTTTCAAAATTGCTGCAATTCTAAATTCCAATAAATTGATTCCCGATTGGCAGATGAACGGCAAATTACTGCCGTTCAACTGACTAATAAAAAAATCAATATTCAATGAACTCGAAAAGTAGTAATCATTATTCTCATAAATAATTGAACACCTCTGTTACGTGTGACACAGTGAGAAAAATGATTTCAGTTTATGTACTATGGATTTCACTGCATAATACAGCGAGTGGATGGCCTTCAACTACCACTGCACCATTCACACGTTTGACAGCGCTTAGTAATGCAATACCATTTAATGCACCTATTATTTTTTTTCTTATCGTTGTTGTTATTATCTGTCTGAAAATGAAATTTTAAATGGAGTGATAGTGAACGTGAAGTGGTGATGATGTCATTTGACTCTTGAGTGTCAGCATTTTAATATCGACGTTTGACCCTCATGAGGGTCACAAGGGCCCTTTTTTTCTAAACGCCTTGATTTGGGCTGACACCAACACAACACAAAATATTAGGTCAAATCGTTTTGTATAAAATTCCAAATCAACTACGGGCGACAGAAAATGGTGACAATTCCATTTGACCCTTGTGAGGGTCGCATGAGGGTCAAACATGAAGGTTCGGTGGGTAGCGCGGGATCAAGGTCAGATACCGTGACGACGATGAGGGTCAAAATTTTTTATTTACGTTTGACCTTCACGAGGACCTCAACGCAATACAAACTGTTGGGTCAAATCGTTTTGTATAAAATCCCAAATCAACTACTGGCGATGTAAAATGGCGACAATTTCATTTGACCCTCATGAGCGTCTCACAAAGGTCAAATATGAAAGGGAGGCGTTACCGTCACATAAAGGTCAACCATAAGGTTCGCAAGTTTAACATCTGTAGTTGACTCTCATGAGCCTACGTCAATTCCGATGAATCGTCATCATCCAAATGCATTTTATTTCATTCATCCTCAAGAGTTTTCCCCGCACAACAAGAACACTTAGCATTCGCGTAATAATAGCTCAGTCTAGTTCTAACTAATTCGCGCACGAGACACTATTATCCCTAGGCAAACCCACCCGCTGTTATCAATGAAATTAGCACGCATGAAGAAAGTCAATGAGGAAATTGTATATTCCTACTGCAGCTATTGTTGACTGAATTTCCAAGTTTTTTGTGAACTTTTGTGGATTAGAATCCGGGGGGGGGA